GACACGCGGGAGACCTAAGACAAGACGCTGACGAGACATAGCGCGAAGACGAGGAGGAGAAGGGTGCCCCAGCCGGTGGTGCCACAAAACGGTGGGGTGGGCAAGCGACCGACAGGAGCACGACGCAGCGACCGGACTAGACGGAGGAACCTGACAAGACACAGCTACCTGGGGGGACGGAGCAACCTGGTGAGACGCGAGGACTCGAACGGGGGGCAAAACAGGGGCCGGGGGCAGGAGGGGCGGCTGTGGCTGCGGCTGCGGCTGCTGCCGCTGCTGCTGCTGCGGCTGCTGCTGCTGCTGCTGCTGCGGCTGCTGCTGCTGCTGCAGTCGCTGCTGAGCGCGCGGGCGAGTGTGAAGAGTGTAGAGACCGGAGCCCGGCTCAGCAGCAAAAGTGGCGAGGGGCTGGTAAGAGTCCCCGTCAACACACACCGCAGTCTCTCCAGAAGGCTCAAACCACACACCCACGTGCTGACTCACGAGGGGTCGCACGCCCACCAAGTTCCGGGAGAACGAGGGGACGTGAAACCCAGTGAGAGACCCAGAAGGAGCAGCCGGACACGGCAAGGTGGTAGTGTGACGCGCGGTGACTGGTCCCGAAGTGGGATCAGCCAGCGCCACAGAAACAGGCGCAGGAAGAGGCGTAAGTGTCGTGCTGTCACGAAAGAAGCAGTGAGAAGCTCCAGAGTCCAGCGTGAACGACAGCGAACCGTCCTCTGAGGTAGCCGCTGGACTAGAGTCTACACAAGAACCTACACTAGCAACAGGCAACTGAGCAAGGCTAGCACCTAAGCTAACAACACCAGAGTAAGCAGAGTCAGAAACACTAGAGTCAACAACAGCATACATAGCATGGGGAGTACCAATGAGATCAACTAACTGCTCAGCAGACATGCCCCACAGAGCGGAGCCGTAGCGCTGAACAAGAGGCAGCCAGTCAGGGGCAGGAGCACCAACCCCGTAGACCAAACGAACCGTGTCAGTGAGCTGAGCAAAGCACTGACCAGGGGGGTGAAACCGGCCACAAGGGTGGCCACGACGAGGGCCTGTCAGAACCTGGTAGGTGCAGGGAGTGTAAGCAGCACCGCGCTGGGTCTGACGCAGCCCCGACCCTGGAGCCAGCTGCTGCCGCTGCTGCTGCTGAGGCTGCTGGGAGGAGAGGGGCTGCTGGTGCTGCAGAAGCTGCTGCTGACGCTGAGCCTGGTACCACGCCGCTGCTCCACCAACCGGGGCAGGAAGTACAGGAGGCGACTGACGAACTCGGGCGTCGCCACCACCAGCAGGCGCAGTGGAGTCACCAGTCACTGCACGAGGCGCCTCTCCAGGCCCTGAACCTCCACCGCCGCCAGGCGCAACGCCACCTCCACTACCTCCGCCTCCACCTCCACTACCACCACCAGAACCGCCTTTCTTGCCACTCCTACCGCGGGACCGCGACGCAGTCGTAACAGCAGCTGCAGTCGCGTCAGTAGCGGCAGTGGCAAGTGAGGCAGTAAAGGTGGGTAACTGCGGGACTGTGCACCCGTGGAAGAGTGGGGGGGGCACAGCACCAGAGGCAGCGGCTACCGAGCGAAGGTTGCTCTCGACGTCCTTGAGTGCAGACTCAAGGACCTCGACGGTGAGCTCACTAGGGTGCTTCAGCAGAAGCGCGTCGCGAACGGAGGCAAGGCGGTCAGGGAGGCTAGTGGCGATGAAATAGATAGTGATCGCCATAGGGGGAGGAAGCAGTGCAAGCTGTGCCTCAGTGCAAGCAGCGCGGTAACTAGCGTCGAGCGAGCGGAGGTGAGCGATCAAGTCAGCAGAGCGCTCAAAAGACGCTAGGTCAGGAAACAGGAACGGGAGGAACAGGCGGCCAAGAGAGACAGCAGCGGGAGTAGAGTAGCGGGCCTTAATCGCAGTGAGGTACGCAGCAGCGGTGCGAACCTGAGTGAAGTGAACCTCCTCAGACTCAGGGAGGAGGCTGCTGAGCGCGATGCAGGCCGCAGCGTCACGTGACGTCCAAGCCGTCTGGTCAGCTCGCTGAGTGGCAAAGCGGGCTCTAGCGGCGTCGTCAGGGGCAGGTCCTAAAGGCGTAGGGTCGGGGGGCGCAGGTAGGGCACCAGTAGCGTGCGCCCAGAGGGTCTCGCCTGCCTGGACCTGACTCTCTAACAGGCGGCGAGCGCGAAGAAGCCAGACTGGGAAATCGAGCGGGCGACCGTCAGCATCGAAACGAAGGACGCGAGGGGTCGCCATAGTGTGCAAACGGAATTGGCAGGGAAAGCAGGGCGCAGCGGCAAGGGAGAACGGGCAGGAAGAGCGGGCAAGAGCGGGCGGGTAGGTCAGGTGTGGCGGGCGCGCGGGTAGGGCAAAGGCGCCGGGCCTGGGCGACGGGCTAGGGCGCGAGCCAGGGCGACGGGCTAGGGCGCGAGCTGGGGAGACGGGCTGGGGCGCGGGCCAGGGCGACGGATCGACGGGCAGCAGGGGGAAAACGCGGGTCGACAGGCAGCGGGGGGAAGCGCGGGTCGACGGGCAGCGGGGGGAAGCGCGGGTCGACGGGCGGCGGGGGAAGCGCGGGTCGACGGGCAGCGGGGGGAAGCGCGGGTCGACGGGCAGCGGGGGGAAGCGCGGGTCGACGGGCAGCGGGGGGAAGCGCGGGGGGGGGGGGGGGGGGGGGGGGGGGGGGGGGGGAAGCGCGGTTCGACGGCAGCGGGGGGGAAGCGCGCCTCGACGGGCATCAGGGGGGGAAAGCGCAGCGCGACCGGCAGCGGTACGCTAGATCGGGCTACGCTAGATCGGGAGGAAGAACGAGCGGTAACGAACGAACGGGACTAGATCGGGCCGGCACTAGGCTCGGGCAAGACGGGCGAAACGAGAGCTAGGATCAGGCTCGGGTGGTACGATCGGAGAACGGAGAAACGGGATCCCACAGGATCCTAACCTAACTGATACCATGTCAGAATGATGCATTGATGTTGGTTGGGGTACATATAGCTAACCCTAAGTTTTGTACCCCCTAAGACAAACCTCACTATAGGCTACAACATTTGACAGTTTGCCTGCATAGGTAATTCAGGTCGTGCTTTTCCTACTACTCGTAGATTGTTCCAAGAGTCCGGGAAAAAAATCGAACATAGCATAGGCCACGATCACTTTCACAAATATTACGGGATCCTTAGAAATCCAGGCGTATCTATCCTACGGCCAAAATAGAAACCCCGTACGGATTGGTGGTCGTGGCTTATCGGCATGACAGCAACTATGTTAGTGGCATATCACGTTTTCGATCTCGCTTGCCCTGGCATCGCAACCCCGCGGACATCGCATTTAGGCCCTATCGCCTTCCGCGTTCCACACGCTCCCCCAAGCACATATCGCTTCCCCTCACCGTCGCCCGAGCTCATCCCCACCGTCGCTCACGCTTCCCCTTACCGCCGCTCACGCTTCCTCCTGCCTTCACCAACGCTTCCCCACATCGTCGCTCACGCCTTCCCCCACCTTCCCTCACGCTTCCCCGCTCATCGCCTACGGTTCCTCCCACCGTCACTCACGCTTTCCCCCACCGTCGCCCACGCTTCCCCCCACCGTCGCCCACGCTTCCCCTCTCATCGTCATCCCTGTCGCCTGGAAATGAGCCTCCCCGCCGATCTCCCTTCTCTCCCACCTCTCTCCACGTCGTTATCACTCCCCTGCCTATCACGTTCCACCTCTTCATCACCATTGCTTCTCCACCCACGCCGCCCACCCTCTCATCCGTTCCTATCGTCTTTAGGTGCGTTGTTGCTTCCCTTCCCATTGCCGCATTTGGTCGCTCTCGCTCTCCCCATTGCCACCTTCTCACTCCTACCACCCCATCCTTGCACCCTCCTTTCCTTCTCTCATTCTCCCTCCCTCCCTGCCTCTCACCCACCCTGGCCGCGGACGTATGGCGGGCAGGTCTCGAGCGCTGGGGATGGGGTCGTGACTCGATCGCGGTGGGATGTCACAGGGTGCATCAGCAGCACCCACCCTTCTCTCTCTTGCACCAACCCCGCACGCATGGCAGGTGCTGCTGCGGCTTTGGAGCAGAGCGCTGGGCGCACAGCCGGGGCAGCGCGTGCAGTCGGGCAGCAAGGAGCGCAGTGCTTCAGATGAAAGGGGGCAGGGGGCAGGGGAGCGGGGGAGGCGGGGCAGGGGAGGCGGAGGGGAGGGAGAGAGGGTCCAGGCATCCTCCTATCCTTCCTTCCACCCTTATACCCTGCCACGCTTTTACCTCCTGCCCTCCTCCCTTACTATGTTCGTTCGTTACCCCACAGTCGTCCTCCCCTCCCTTCTCCGTTGTGAAGGCACCGCTGCAGGTGGACGAGGTGACGTGGCACGTGACGTGGGAATGGGTGGGCTACCCGCATGTGATTTGCAGGGTTATTCCCAGCCTGCACCATCAGATGTCGGCTCTTTCTTCCCCTCGTTCTTCTGCCTGCATCCAGCGCTTCTCTTGTACTGCAGTGTGCCCCTGCCTCTTTGGCGCCCACGCTTCCCCCCACCGCCACCGTCGCCCACCGCCAGTGGCCAGCAGCACCCTTCCGTCGCATACACGTTCATCTCCCCATCCCTCATCTCCCCATCCCTCATCTCCCCATCCCTCATCTCCCCATTCCTCATCTCCCCTTCCCTCCTCTCCTCTCTTCCTCCCCTCCCTTCTGCTTCTCCCCCAAGCGTCCTCCCTACCTCCCTTCCTCCCATCATCACTTCCTTCATTCCTGCATTCCTCACTTCCTCCCTTCCTCCGTTCCTCCTTTCCTTATTTGCCAGTTGTCATTCTTTTGCATGCCTGCTTCCCTTGTACTTCAGCCACGTCACATCTGACTTCTTGGTTTGTGTTTGGACAGGTCTGCTCTGCATCTGGTTGTGATGTGCTGGCTGTCTGGTAGTAACACGACGTGTAGCCATGCCATGTATTGGATAATTTTATATAATACAGGATTATGAGCCTCTCAGAGCAGTCATACACATGACCAATACCAAGGAGTTCAACAATTAATATATTACAGTATCTATAAAGTAAGGGGAATCATGTGACTCGAGAAGGGAACAAAGCTTGGGGGTGTGTGTGTAATGTTGCTTCCTGGTTTTGTCTGCTATACTGCAAGCAATAAACCAGGCCGTGGTAAAGCCACATCTGGTGCTGGGCACCTGTAACTGCATTGGGGGGTATGGGGGTGAGTGAAGGGGGGAAGACAGTAAACGGAATGAGCAGAGGGGAAGAGAAGAAGCAGCGGGGGACAGATTGAACAGAGGGGAAGAGAGCAAGCAGGGGGGAAGAGAGTGAGCAGAAGTATAGAGAGTGAGCAAGGGGGAAGAGAGTGAGAAGAGAAGAAGGGGAGGGAGCAAGGGTGAAACAGAGGGAGCAAGGGTGAGCAGGGAAGGGGATGGGGGGAAGCAGGGAAGGGGATGGGGGGAAGCAGGGAAGGGGATGGGGGGAAGCAGGGAAGAGGGAAGGGGATGGGGGGAAGCAGGGAAGGGGATGGGGGGAAGCAGGGAAGGGGATGGGGGGAAGCAGGGAAGGGGATGGGGGGAAGCAGGGAAGGGGATGGGGGGAAGCAGGGAAGGGGATGGGGGGAAGCAGGGAAGGGGATGGGGGGAAGCAGGGAAGGGGATGGGGGGAAGCAGGAAAGGGGATGGGGGGGGGGAAGCCGGAAGGGGATGGGGGGGGGGGAGGGAAGGGGATGGGGGGAGGAAGGGGTGGGGGATGGTGGGAGGGGGGAGGGGGACGGGGGAAGGAGGGAAGGGGAGGGGGAAAGCAGGGTAGGGGAAGGGGGGGGAAAGCAGGGAAGGGGATGGGGGGGGAGCAGGGAAGGGGGTGGGGGGGGAAGCAGGAAGGGATGGGGGGAGGTAGGGGGACGGGACGGGGGGAAGGAGGGAAGGGGACGGGGGGAAGCAGGGAAGGGAAGGGGGGGAAGCAGGGAAGGGATGGGGGGGGAGGGAGGCAGGGGAGGGCACGGCCGGAAGGAGGGAAGGGGATGGGGGGGGAAGCAGGGAAGGAGATGGGGGGAAGCAGGAGGGGATGAGGGGGAGCAGGGAAGGGGAGGGGAGGGGAGGGGGGGGGAAGGGGTGGGGGAGCAAGTCGGAGGCTGGGGGGGAAAGCAGCGCAGGGGATACGGGGAAACAGGGAAGAAGGGAAGGGTGTATGTGCGGGTTGGAAGGGGGCGTGACAAGTGTTCGCGATGGGAAGGGCGCAGGGCGGGATGGCGCGGGCAACGACGAGTGGAAGGGAGGGCGACGGGGGGAGAGAGAGACGGGGATTGCGAGGGGACGAGCAGCAGCAGGGAGGGCGATGAGACGAAGGGGGGCAACGGGCGGAAGGGAGGGAAAGAGAGCGTGAAGGGGGAAAGAGAGTGAGAAGGGGGAAAGAGAGTGAGCAGGGGGGGAGGAGAGAGTGAGTGTAGGAGTGAGCCGGGAAAACAGGGGCGAGCAGAGGGGGTAAGAGCGAGCGTGAAGGGGGAAAATGGGTGAGAAATGGGGAGAGTGGGGTTAGAACAAGGGGAGTGAGCAGAGGGAAAGAGAATGAGCAGGGGAAAGAGATTGAGCAGGGGGAAAGCGAGTGAGCAGGGGGAAAGCGAGTGAGCAGGGGGAAAGCGAGAGAGCAGGGGGAAAGCGAGTGAGCAGGGGGAAGCGAGTGAGCAGGGGGAAAGCGAGTGAGCAGGGGGAAAGCGAGTGAGCAGTGGGAAAGCGAGTGAGCAGTGAGCAGGGGGAAAGCGAGTGAGCAGAGGGGGAAAGAGAGGGAGCAGGAGAGAGTGAAAGGCAATGGGAGGGGAAGTGAAGGTGACGGGTGGGGAAGCGAATGTGACGGGCGGGAAAGCGAGTGCGGCAGGCGTGGAAGGCGACGGGAGGGGGAATCGAAGGCATCGGGGGAGAAGTGAAGACGACGGGAGGGGGAAGTGAAGGCGACGGGAGGGGGAAGTGAAGGCGACGGGAGGGGGAAGTGAAGGCGACGGGAGGGGAAGTGAAGGCGACGGGAGGGGAAGTGAAGGCGACGGGAGGGGGAAATGAAGGTGACGGGAGGGGAAATGAAGGCGACGGGAGGGGAAGTGAAGGCGACGGGGGGGAAGTGAGGGCGACGGGAGGGGAAATGAAGGCGACGGGAGGGAAGTGAGGGCGACGGGAGGGGAAGTGAAGGCGACGAGAGGGGGAGTGAAGGCGACGGGAGGGGGAAATGAAGGCAACGGAAGCGGGGGGGGGGAGGGGGAGCTTTGAAGGCGACGGGGGGGAAGTGAAGGCGACGGGCGGAGCGAAGGCGACGGGCACGCGACGAGCTGCGGAAGCGAGGGCGACGACGCGGGCGAAAGAGAGCGGAAGCGTGGGAAAGGAAAGCGAGGGCGAGGGGAGGGTCACGTTTGGTCGAACGGTTGCGATTCGAACGGTTGAGATTACGCTAGTTGCACAATAACTGCATTTCGACACAATAATCTTCATCCAGCGGACACTAGCTTTGCGCATCATCATCGAAATCCGCGCCCCAACATCGTATGGCGCATCTGATCCCTTTTGAGTGAACGCCGATGCCCTGCCCTGTCTACAGGTGTGGTCTATACCTAATTCTCTGCGTGCTATCTCAAACTGTGCACAGTTTGGTATGCTCACGCTTTTCTGGTTGTGGGAAGAACCCCACCCATCGTGGGAAGCGAGAAACTTTTGTCGCAAATTGGTTTCGCGAGTGAAAGTCTCTCGCAACCCAACCGAACCTCTCCGTGCCTGCCTCCCGAACCTAGTTTTTGGCGTTGACTTCCGTTGAGTAATTCAGGTCTTGGGCTTTAATATTGGGCCAAACCCTAAAGAACCGCCTCTGCTGAAACCTCCTGACATCCAAGTTTTCGTATTTCTGCTGGAAAGTTGTCGTTGGAAGTTTGGTACGATACAAGTCTTCCGGGAAGCCTTGCAACAGTCGTCCAGCACACTCAAATACGCACTAAGCAGATGTGATCCTTTCATTCGCGAACTGGGTAACACTTCACGAATCTCTACAGTCCACAGAATTCCCACGAAATCCTTCCGAAGAAAAGCGTTGAACCGAAAATGTTTGACTCCTTTTTGTTACCCCGCTGGTCAGGATGTGTACGTGGGGATTTCCCCGCACGAGGAATCGGCATCATTGCACGTGGGGAACCCCCACACCGTACCGTACCGTACTAAACATACACAGACTCGAGCCGCTCGGGCCGCTCCGCTCTGTTTGCGGAAGTGCCCGCGCCGCTACTTGTGTGGATAAAAGCTGGGCTCATCATGCCGTCCTCAAGCCATTCGTTATCCAGCCAAGCCTCTTCATCTCTTCTACCTCCGCGGTGGATCTCATTTAGGTTCCCCGTTATGGCTCGTCGTGCGTTGCCATTGCTCCTGCTGCTCGTGCTTGTCAACGCAGCATGGCTTACGTCTCTGCACAACGCCCCGGAGGTGGAGGCGGAAGTGGCCCACCAAGAGGCGGAGGCGGAGGCGGAGGTGGCCCACCGAGAGGCGGAGGCGGAGGCGGAGGTGGCCCACCGAGAGGCGGAGGCGGAGGCGGAGGTGGCCACCGAGAGGCGGAGGCGGAGGCGGAGGCGGAGGCGGAGGTGGCCCACCGAGAGGCGGAGGCGGAGGCGGAGGCGGAGGCGGAGGCAGAGGTGGAGGTAGGGGGGACTATTAAGGAGGGGTTATTACAGAGACTCGTGCCCGCGCGTCGAGGAGATGGTTCGCGAAATCGTCACTGGCGAATACCTAAAGGACAAACTCGTCGCCGCGGCGCTTCTGCGCCTCCACTTCCACGACTGCTTCGTTCAGGTACTACTAGTACTACTGTTAAGAGCCCGTTGCCAATTCCGTTCCTCTTAGTAGCGAGCCGCGCTTACGTTTCGCGGCATTCTTACCTGAATCTGTTCCATTTCGTCATCATTATCTTTGCCTACGCGTCGCGCCGCGGCGCACAACGGCCAAAAGCGTCCTGTAATACTGGACGAATTTTGTGACGTGATTCTGCAAATCGACGCCGCAGGGTTGGGATGGGTCTATCTTGCTATCGACGGCGGAGATGGACGCGCCGCCGAACCTGACGCCTAACGGATACGACGTTATTGATCGCATCAAGGAGGCCGTTTTGCATTCGGATTTTTTTCTTTCTTCGCCTATTATCGTGCCTACGCGTCGCAGGGTTGCGATGGGTCTGTGCTGATCGACTCGACGGCGGACAATCAGGCGGAGAAAGACGACGCGCCGCCCAACCTGACGCTCCACGGATACGACATCATCGACAAAATCAAGGAGGCTGTCGAGGCGAAATGCCCGGGCGTCGTCAGCTGCGCCGACATCGTCACTCTCGCCTCTCGCGACGCGTGAGATTGGTGAGCGTCTCAGCCGCTTTTCCTGGAAAACTCGAGTGAATGATGTGCTGCATTGCTTCCGTATGTCCCTCCCGCCGCCCGTTTTACAGGATCGATCATGCCCTGTTTCAACCACTGGTTGCCTCGGTATCGCGCGACAGGCTCGCGGCCCATTCTGGCCCAATCACCTGGGCCGCCGCGATTCGCGGCGCCTCAACGTCTTTTAGGCGCCTCCAAAGTCGTCCATTTCTGAGGCGCCTCGAGAGTATATTTGCGGCGCCTCATAACTCGTCCCTGGTTGCCTGTGTCCCCCGGCAGGCTGGTGGCCCGTTCTGGCCTGTGGACCTGGGCCGCCGCGATTCGCGCACCTCCATGGCTTCCCTCGCGTCGCAGGCCATGCCCGGTCACCAGATGAACGTGAACCAGCTTCTGCGAAACTTCGCCGCGGCGAACCTCACGCTCGTTGACCTCGTCGCGCTCGCCGGCGCGCACACGATCGGCGACGCGAGCTGCGGCTCCGTCGCGCACCGGCTCGCGCCCAACAGCGACCCGTCCATGGCGCCGCAGTTGCGGGACTACCTTAACGGCCAGTGCAAAGCTCCCAACGTCGACCAGAAGATATTCGTTCTGCTCGACAGCGCCGGCGGTTCACAATTCGACAACCACGTGAGCTGCTCGAACTTGTCGAAATAAACCCTAGGTTTTCTTGCTTTCTTCATTCCTCCTTGTCTTTAGCCGATTCCAATGCACCACCATGGCCAATGCAATGCTCCAGCCGGCGGCTCTTCATTCGACAACCACGTGAGCTGCCCGAACTTGTCGAGGGAAACCCTAATTTTTCTTGCTTTCATTCATTCCTCCTTGTCTTTAGCCAGATCTTATGCACCATTGTGACGCTTCATAAAGCATATCTAGATGCATCTTTCCTTTGATTTACAGTTTCAAGTGTCCATCTGCATATACGCAGATGAATCCTGGCAGAGCCGCATTCATTCTTCCACCATCTCTACCCCTCCTTCTCTCTTCCTCCTGTCTTTCTTCCCACCGCAGTACTTTCAGAACCTTCAGCGGAAGTTCACAATCCCCTCGTTCTTCACTGTACCTCTCCACACCACAGTGCTTCCAGAACCTTCAAAGGATTTTCGGGCTGCTGTCGAGCGACCAGGCGCTGACAATCGACCCGACTTTGAGTCGACTCAAAAGTAATCTCTACCCCTTCCTCGCTCCTTCCTCCCTGTATCTGTCCCCACCACAGTACTTCCAGAACCTTCAGCGGAAGTTCGGGCTGCTGTCGAGCGACCAGGTGCTGGCGATCGACCCGCGCACTCGGCAGCTGGTGGACCGTTACGCGTCGGACAGGGGGGCGTTCTTCCGGCAGTTCAGCCACTCCATGATCCGCATGGGCGAGGCCGGCGTACTCACTGGCGCGCAGGGGGAGATCCGCCGCACCTGCAGCGCCGTCAACTGACGTGGATGGAAGGGATGGTGGATGGAAGGGGAGGGGAGTGGGGGAGGGGGGAAGGGGGTGGGTGTGGGGGAGGGGGTGGGGAGCAGGCTATTCCTTCTCAATGAGAGCAAAGCCTTGTGGTGGATTGGAGAGGGTCAGCATTGTGATAGAAAAGGTTGAACTCATGGGAAGGGGTTACGAGAAAAGGATGCTCTTATTGAGATGGCAGTAGCCTGCTCCGTGAGGGTGGTAGGGTAGGGCTGAAGTTTGGTGTAACGGTAGTTTATTATTGTGTACAGTATGCTGTTGTGTATCTTGCTTATTTATGGACCCAAATGCATCTTACCTGTACAAACATTGGGAGCTGCTGCTGTGACACAGAGCTGCTTACTGGTGCTGGTGCTGAGCAAGAGTTTACGGGGGCATGGGGATGTTTCACCACACCAAGTCAAGCAGAAGTTTAGCAGCACCATGCTGAGGCATTGCGTTGAGTCAAGTACGTTAAATGTTCTGCAGTTTCTTTCCTTGAGTTGAGCTCATTGGTAAGTGCTGTGGTACTGGCAATCTAGATTCAAGTGATTCCTCACTAAAGAAATGTACGTACGATACTACCACTACCATACTACTGCCTTGGTTGGGAGGGAAACGGCACAACCCAGTGCAAGGCCCACAACAAGGCACAGAATGGCAGAGACTGGAATTGTGCCAGATCAGACGACAGTGTTATCAAGACAAGTACGATATACATTATATTGACCAGCAGTGCACTACACTACTGCTCCAATACGTTGTCCTAAGCAACTTATTGAGGACAATAGGGTGTTCTCATGTGCAAAACATGTTTGATGCCTATCGTTAGAAGACAATGGGGTGTTGTCATGTACAGTTTACTGCTGCTGCTGCTGCTGGCTCATGCACTCTAGAGGCGTCTCAAAAGTCCTTTCCTGCTCGCTGGCCAGGGCGTCGCGCACAGCGGAAGCAGCGATGCCACGGCTGCGCGCCAGGCGGTTCTGCTGCTGCTCGTGCACGCCCATGGGCAGGCGCAGGGCAAAGCGCATGTCGTGCAGCAGCTGGGGGAAGCTCTCTAGCGTGTCGAATAGGTCGTCGAGCAGGAGCAGCAGCAGCTCGCACTCTGTCTTGGCCTGGGGCGGGCAAGAGAGGGGGCAGGGGAGAGGATGTGCGCTTTGACTGAGAGGGCAGCTGGGGAAGCTCTCTAGCGTGTCGAATAGGTCGTCCAGGAGAAGGAGCAGCAGCTCGCACTCTGTCTTGGCCTGGGGAAGAGTGGGATAGGGGAGAGGAACAGAGGGGTAAGAACAAGGAGCAGTGGACATGTGATGTGAGTTCACTGAGAAGGCAGCAGCTGGGGGAAGCTCTCTAGCGTGTCGAATAGATCGTCGAGCAGAAGCAAGAGCAGCTCGCAACCCCTCCATGCCCATCACAAACCCTTCTCACTTTCAACCCAAGCCCTCCCCTCCTTCTCCATTTCCCTCAAGCCCTCCCCTCCTTCCCCATTTCCCACCTTCCCATGTCCCCCCTACCTCATCCCCTTCCCCTCATCCCTCCCTCCCTGCCTCACCTGAAACGTCGCCTCAACACATATAAGCCCGACCCTCTGCTTCAGCCATTCCTGCACGTCCATGCGCGCTTCAAACGTCTCCAGCACCCCTCCATCCATACCCATCACAAACCCTGCTCCCTCTCCCCCAACCCTGCTCCCTCTCCACCCAACCCCTGCTCCCTCTCCACCCAACCCCTACCCTCCTTCCTCCCTTCCCCCTTAAGTGTTTCGCTGTTTGCCTCACCTGAAACGTGGCCTCGACACATATAAGCCCGGCCCTCTGCTTCGGCCATTCCTCCTCATCCATGCGCGTTTCAAACGCCTCCAGCAACCCCTCCATACCCATCACAAACCATTCTCACTCTCAACCCAAGCCCTCCCCTCCTTCCCCATTTCCACCTTCCCATGTCCCCCTTGCCTCATCCCCTTCCCCTCATCCCTCCCCCCCTGCCTCACCTGAAACGTCGCCTCCACACAGATCAAACCAACCCTCTGCTTCGGCCATTCGTCCTCATCCATGCGCGTTTCAAACGCCTCCAGCAACCCCTCCATCCCCATCACAAACCCCGTCCCCACCGCCCGATGCTCTAACTCCACCTTCCCTCCCTCTTGCTCCAACACCATTTCAAGCGGATTCCTGGGGGCCTCTGCCACTCCTGCTGCCATCGCTGCTGCCGCTGCCAGTGCTAGAGGGTTTGTGTGGGACCCCGGGGCGGTTGCGGGGTTACCCGGGAAAGCGCTGGGGTGTTGAGGGCTTGCCCGGGGGTGAGGCGGAGGGAGAGCTGGCGCGAGTGGGAGCGGAAGCGGCGCAGCCGGCGTTGCGAGTCGGAGTGGAGGAGAGAGGCCGAGCGGTTCACAGGGACGAAGGGGTGGTGCTGCTGCTGGGACGAGGGAGAGAGGGAGGGAGGGAGGGAGGGAGGCAGGGAGGGAGGGAGAGGGGGAGGGAGGGAGGGAGGGAGGG